AGTTTTTTTTTTTTTTTTTTAATAGTCAATTCATGAGGCCTAGCAGCTGCCATTCCTGTTAGTATTCCAGTCATTCTCATTTTTTAAAAAGGAACCAGAAGTTAGACAAAATGATCTTGAAGCTGTGCTCTGGGCTTTGTGATCTCAAGAAAATCACCCATGAAAATGTAAAATGAGCCTTCCTTTTTTCCAGAAAATCAGTTGAACGGGAATTCCAGTTCTGGGAAATAAAGGAGGATTTGCATTTGTGGACAGGAAGTTTCCCCATTGCTTGGGTTACAGCATTACTGCTCAGTGCTGTTAATAAAGGAAACGGGACTGTGAACTTAGATCCCGTCCCAACCATTCCAGCCCCATCCTGTGCCGACCTTAGGTCTCCCCTCGTTTGACCCACCCCGTTTTCTGTCCATCCCACAGCCTAAGATTGTCAGGCCTCATCTCCCTTCCTTCAGCCCCTAACTGAAAACTTCCAGAATTACTATTCCAAACTATTCCAAAAAGATGAAATTTGATTTTGTTAGTACGAAAACTTTAGCATGTTAGCATAAACACATTTTAGTAATAACTTAAATTAGGAGCTAATGCGGGTAATAAGTATGAGAAGCATGGTCATTAATCAGTGTTAAACAACTGCCTTCTTTGGCTCTTGTCCCTGCAGTTGTCTTCTGCCCCCATACAACTGCCCCCATCCGTACCGATTTGGTGATATTTACCTTTAGTGTATGTGTGTAAATGCATCAGGGATTGCCAGTGAAATCCCAGTTTTCCAGAATAACAGTTTAAGTAGGATGTTTATTTTTAAAAATGTACATAATGGACCAGGAACGATAGGGCTTTGGTGGTTGCTCGTCTCATTTTTCAAGCCACAGCAACTCCTTTTAGGGAAACCAGTGGAAAAGAAAAGAGCTTTTGCACCTGTATAAAAACCTGAAGTAACTAGAGTTAGGAGCTAGAAAAATGGATCCATAAATATTTATTGTTTTATTAAACATATGTAAATAAATCTGGTAAATACGCAGCAAGAAGGGAAGTGCAGAAATGAATTATTACTGAGCAATTACTGTGAGCAAGACACTTTCACAGACATTTAATTCCTTAGCATAATCTTGCAGGGTTGATATTATCATTACTGCTGTGCTAGGAAAGGAGCAAAAAGCTCAGAAAGGCTAAGTAACTCTTTGAAAGCCTCTCAGCTGGTAAGGCACAGACACCATTTTTATCAGTGGCCACTGGATTCGGAAGCCCATGGTCTTTCCAGTTTACCCACACACTTGGCAGTGCTAGAGATTAAAAGGTGCCTTCTTAAAGTGTAGACTGTGCTCTCAAGGAGCTCACATCCAACACGAATAGAACAGGGGGAAATTATACATGTGATGTGGTGGGGAGATGGGACCTATTAAGTCTAGTGCTATGGAGGGGGTGAGGTGGGAGGACTCTTGGAGGACAGGCGTATGAGATAGACTTGGAAGAGTGGGCAGTTTGGACAGGTGAGACAGAGCACCTACCAGGCAGAGCAACTGAAGCAGGGAAGCGTGGGGCATCTTGGCAAACAGCCAGGACTCCATTTGGGCAGCACACGTGTTATGTACAGGGAAGCAGTTAGAGATCATGATGGAAAGGTAGACTGGCCCATACTGTGGGAGTTTTGAATACCATGCAGAGGGTTGTGTATGGGGGAGGGAGGAGTGCTCATTTGTTTTAATCACAGAAAGACTTTGATGAAAGTGGGCTTTAGGAATATTATTATGGTCACAGGGGGTGGGGGGAGGCAGTGGATTAGCTTGGGAAGTAGCCAGGGGCAGAGCGACCCATCACCAGAGATGGAGTGATGTGGAGGACTGGAACGGGGGCCTGACACCAACTACAAAAAACACCTGTGTGTTTTGGGGAAGAAAAACCAATAGGACATGGCTACTGCTTTGAATGTGGGGTTGCACGTATCTAATCAGCTATCAGATTTGAATATGCATAATTGTCATGCCTTACATTTCTAACACCAAGGATTTAATTCTTTTAAAGTTCAATTCTATTGAAATTTTTATTCCAATTCTATTGAAAATTTTACGCCATGTATTTTTTGACAGCTAACCCCAACGTATTCAAATCTTAAGGAGTGAAGTTTGTGAAGTGGACTTCTTTTAAATTAGTGATTCCCTAATTTGCCTGACCATATAGTCACCAAGGCTTGCTAAAAATACCAGCAATCAGACTCTCACCCCTGCGGGTTGATTTAGTGGTTCTAAAATGGCACCCAGGAATCTGGATTTCTAACAGGGGTCCTGAGTAATGCTTATTTATGAGCAGACAAGTTTGGAGACTAGTGCCTTAAAGAACTTTCTCATTGAGCAGCTTCCACTGGAGATGGGGAGCATTCGTATTCCAAAAATTCACGCTCCCTGCTTCTGCTCCCCTCACCTTCTGGTGTCTGTCAGTTCCTAGATCCACCGTTGGCCCATAAATGAGATGAAGTGGTAGTAGTATAAAGATGGAGATGCATTATCCCATACTTTCTCCCAGCCCCCAGGTGGCCATATAATTGAAACAGTCTCTATTTCTCTACATAGTTGAGTTGCTTTTAATTCTAAGAACATTTCAAACTTTCCTGATTCAATTTAAATCAAAAGGCACTTAAATATCCAGACTCAGCACTAGTAGAAGCAAAGTAAGAAAAACGAAAACATTATAGACAGTGCTCATGTTCCTCCTCAGTAACAAATGATTTATTAAAATTGGGAATTGTAATTCTGAATAAGTCTTAACATCAAGTGTATCTTAATGCTCAACAATGTGTCATATCAGCAAAGTGGTAACAGCTAAGATTTTCTATAATCAAAAATCAAAATAGTATGGTTATGTCTGTCTTATAAAATAGGAATAAATGTATCAGACACATTGATTATAAAAATCACACTGATGTATTCAGGCAGGTTAATTTCTAAAAAACCATATTATATCAATAATTTAACCAAATCGATCTACCAGCTAAAAGAAATATTACATATGTAATTGATACTAATTGTGTTGCTCTCTTAGAGAAGTGTAGTTAGACTTTGGGGTTATCAAAATTGTTCTGATGTATTTTTAAGAAAGGTTAGGCTGATCCTGTCTGTGGTAACTCAGTTATTCATGATACATATCACCATGTAAGTAGGAGTATTCAATAATCGTGCTATTGAAGCCGCTTCAGAGTACTATAATCACTCCACTTGACAGACTTCAGAATTCATTGGAAATCTCTGGAAAAAAATTATCAAGTTATTAGCATAGACTCTAAACAGATCTTTGAGATGCTTTTCATAGATTTGATAAAACAGATTGTAAGTCTGCCAAATGTAGTTGCTTTGATTTGATTTGCATTGAATGAAATTTTAAAAACTAAAAGCTAAAGTTTTCAGGATTTGGTGCGCTAGGTTTTTATTGGACAACATAGAATGAATGGGACTGCTACTGAAGCGCCTTGGATAAGGGAGCCTATGATTCCATGAACACAGCACTCAGCATACTACTGGGCACATGATTGGCACTCAAAATGTGTTCAATTAATATATTTATGAATGTGTTGCAAAGGAAGTAATTAAAGATAATTAGAGGGTATACGTAATAGTAATAGTACTAAAGTAATACTAATAAAATAGTGCTAAGAGTACTACTTTAATAGTAGTAGTAATAAAGTAGTAGATTGTGTCTATTGAACTAATCTCTTTCTGTCTATCTGGGTGGGAAGACATAGGATTTAACTGATAAGATTTGGCTTAGCAGTGGAGATAAAAGAGCTCATCCATCATGCATGATGTGAATAGGTACATACTCAACCATGGTATCCTTTGACTGTTCTGAATTCTGGAACTCAGTCCAGAAGGTAGAAGTTGTGTTTGATTGTCTGTGTCTCACCTTTTCTTTCTGGTTTATTGTCTAAAGTATGTTGCTAGAATTCTTTTTACTCTGACTACCTTCAGGTGGTTAGACGACTCTATTATTGATGAGATCACACCCAAGCTGATCGGAGATCAGCCCAATACTTACACCTACACCAAGGCCTTGGGAGAGATGGTGGTGCAGCAAGAGAGTGGGAACCTGAACATTGCCATCGTAAGGCCGTCCATTGTGGGAGCAACCTGGCAGGAGCCTTTTCCAGTAAGCCTACTCACCTGGATTCCTTGCTTTGCTTTCAAACCCGGTTCTTCTAGCCCAATTACTTTCTGGCTAGTGTCTGTTTTGTTTTTTTTTTTTTTCCTTTCTTCTCAGGATTAATAGCTGAGTTCAGCAAATCAAACATGTACTCCTTATATTAGGGCAAAATTCTATGTTGGGTTCAGGATTTACCCACATGAAGCTCTTCTGGGAGTTACTTCTACTGTCCTGGAGTTGGGTGGAGATCTTAAATTAGCTTCTAATTAACTCCAGTCTCAAAATTTCCATGTGTGATAGTTTCATTTCTTGGCTTTCCCACTATGGTTTAAATATACCAGAACATTCTTGATGGCCGAATTGGTAGTATTCCAACTGCCAGGGTGAATAGAAGTCACAAAGCTCACTGAGGGTTCTCAGTTTAGGAATACTAATTTTTTACCTCTGTGTACTCTCATATCCTTTTGAAAGTGCTTAGAATTATACCCTCATCTTCAGAGCAACTCTGTGAAGCTTTGGGGCCAGATAAATTTGAGTTCCACTACTAGTGGCAATGCAATCTTTTAAGTTTTCTCTTCTGTAAAACTAGACTGACACTATTTCCTTTGGAGAGTGGATTAAATAAGACAGTGTATGAGGAGTGCTTAATCCCTAGTAAAAGGCTGGTCCCTAGTAAAAGGTTTAATAAGTATTAGTCCCTTTATCCTCTCCTCTTTTCTCTCTCCTCTCCCAGTATACACACACATTTTGACTTTTACACTGTAAGATAAAGAAACAGACATAGTAAGGTCATCTGATTTGCTTAAGGCTTAGGAAACAAACTCAAGACAATTCCCTCTTACTGCTCCTAACCATAATCTTTTCTGTAACATCTTCAAGCAAGCTAACACACATACATACAAACATATATCTGGTATGGGCTCTACAGGTGTTAACAATTTCAAGAAATGGATAATTTCTACAAATCATGTTTGAAATGTTCCCTTAAGGAGCTTACAATCAAGACTGAGGTGGAGAAGAATTATGGCTTTTTAATTGCTTAGCATATCCTGATATTAAGACAAGGTCCAAATTAGCCCATAAGATGTCAGAAAACAATAGGAAACCATCCATGACTCCTGCTGTGAAAAACAATGCTGGCAAAATTTTAATTCCTGCACAGTCAAATCAAGTGCAGAAAATAGCCAGTGCTTTGGCATTGATCTTTGTTTGGGGTCTTAGAAATACTGGATTATATAGTTCTATCGGTTGGGGTCTCAGGGCTCTGTTTAAAATTTATTAAGATTAAATTGCAGATGTTTCAAAGATATGACAAGTTTATGAAATGTGTAACCAGAAGAAATCTTCTCTTTTTTAGGGTTGGGTTGATAATCTAAATGGACCTAGTGGGCTCATTATTGCGGTATGTATAATGATGAGGAAATAACTCCTTGAAATTACTAACAAAATTCTTAGTATTGCATAGTTTCATTGATCCAAAAACATAAATGGTACTTTAACTAACAAAAATTGTACCAATTTATCTCAATTTTGCTGATTTCCTTTAGAGATAGAAGCAGGCTGAAATTGCTGCTATTCTTTGAGAGTTTTATTACCAGAAAAACAGGTAATGTGATATCATCAAGACGTTTTATTTTGAAAATCCTTGAACATCAAGGATTTTCCTTTAGTTACCACAAGGTGGAGATATTTCTTCCTTTTTGCTATTAATATTTATTAATAGCATGAATTAGTATAGCAAATTCACTAAAAACACAGTAAAAATCATATCCTTGTAGATTATTAAATTCTTGATTATAAAGCATATATACGAGTTTATGTGTGTGTATAAAAAGGAGATATACATCAATAACTAATTCTTCATAGATACAAGAAAGAATTACCAATTGGAGCAAATTTTTCAAGCATAAAAATTGGTGAATACAAGAAATACTTTTTCAACAATAATCTTCTCACAGGCAAGGAGAGA